AGGGACTGGAGAACAGTAGAAAGAGTTCTTCTGTCTTGCCCAGGAAGACCTGCTAAGGGTTCTGGATTCTTCCTGAAGAAGTACAACTAAGCTTGGAGAAGGACAAAGTCTCCATGTTTGTCCTTGCTCCTCCCTTACAGCCATATGCAGCTGTACACATTCCCTGAAACAAAAAGAGAGCCCATGTCCCCTTTCCAGGCCCCTGCCAAGAAAACACCACCAGGACCCTCTAACCCTCAAGTCTTAAGTTATAAGTTGTAGCTGACTAACTCAGATGTGATATCAGCTTTCATTCTTGGTGTTCTTAGAGTCACAGAACACACCAAATCACTGAAAGAGGATACAATTAGACAATTTTGCTGCATTTAAAAACATTCGTTGAAATTTTATTTGTATTAGTTGGACTTAGTTCATGTGTATGAGAATGTAGGAGTGCCATGCATGTGCAGGTGGCTACAGATGTACGCAGAGGGCATTGGATCCCTTAGGGCTGAAGTTGTAGATGTTTGTGATCTACAAATGTAGGTACTGAGACTTGAAGCTGGGTTCTCTGTAAGAGCAACAAATACTCTTAATCACTGAGCCATCTCTCCAGCCTATTTTTAAACTTATACCGAAAACCATAGTTACTAGAGCCTATTGCAAGTCAACTAAAAACAGTGGCTCTGTTCTTAAGCATCACTAGCAAACCTGCCTGACTATATGAAAATCTAAAATGATGATTGTTGATGATGATAATAATGATGATAATGATGAAGATGATATAAATCAGCTTTGGTCAGTATGCATACAGGTGGTAATGTTTAAAATCCCACATTTAATACATATAAGTGTTTGGCAAATGAGATTCACTATGTTGAGCCTGCCTCTACTGTAGTCATGGCAACTTGGAGCAAAGAAATTATAGCAGAGTTGGTAATTTCACTCGAAATGTAATGAAAATAAAGCTAATCCCATTATTATTCTCAACAATTTTCCATGCAGTTTCCTCTTACTATGCCCTTGCTTGTTCATCCTGTCTTTAAAAACAGATTATTGGAAAATTGTACATGTGTGCCCTCTCTGCACTTATAGCCATTAGTACCATCCTCCTGCCTCGGAGGCATAACCTTGTTTTGGAGAAGAGGCTAAGTTCACCCTTCTCCCTACTTTTCTTGCAATCCTGGAATGGATAAATCTTCTAAATATACCAATTTGGGCCATTAAACATTTCAGAGACTGTCACTAAAATTATAGTGAAATAATAGTCTTTTAGAAGATAAGCCAGATAATACACATTTGTATAAATCTTGAAAGCATGTTCCCAATTATTCTATTTTAAATTTGAAGTGTGTTCATGTGGGCTTGACGGTTATTTAAGAAAACCATCTTTTTTTCTTTTCAGCCTCCACTGAAGATTAACGGCTTGATGTGAATTCCATTTAAAGTAACACTCCATATGGACACGTCAAGTCAATTCCCTCTGTAATTGCAATAAGCACTGAATGTCACTAAAGTAAAACAAATAAGAAAGCCCTCTGGCCTCTCTCGTGCAGTATACAGTGCTACATGGATTTCCAGTGGACCTGTCTCTTCAACTGCAGTATCTTCTGCAAGGAACAAGGAGACTGTGTGATTGAGTATAAGTACGTCCCGGGCAGAGCACTGATGCTCACCAAATGCTGTGCAGGTGGAGGCCGGGACACAGCGATGCAGAGTTTGGTGGATTCCGACCTTGAGCTTGTGACAGGTCCCTGGGAACCCTGCTCTCTGTTGTTATTTCTGTGTCCCAGTTTCTTGTTCATATAACAAACAAAGGTGCTAGGAGTCCATAAGGGGAAAACCACCCTTTAGGGCTCCTGCATTTCCAATAACCGGGGGCTCAGAATCATCATCATGATGTGTAGGGATGCAGCTTCACACTGTCTACAGAGGCCATTCATGGGGACAGGCTAGGACAACATGCAGGATAGTTTAGGAGCTCACAGAGGCAAAGTCTCTCTAATAACTACCCTAAAAAGGGTCTGTGGAGATCTCAAAGAACTGAAGTAAGTTCCCCCACTCTAATAACAAAAATTGGGGATGTCTCCAAAGCCGAGCAATTTCTTCCTCACCAAAAACTTTTCCACTATTTCTATTGCCCATGAGTTGTGTAGTCACTGGGAAATGGAAGGGAAAGGATGAGAGGGAAAAGAAGGGGAGGTACAGGAGAAGAAAAGAAAAGGAGAGGGGAGAAGGCTCACATGTGATGAATAGGAACGTGAATAAAGAACTTAGGAGGAGAGGGGGGACTGGAGAAGAGGAACAAGAGGGAAGGGAAGAATAGGTGGAAAAGGGAGAGGGAGGGGATAAAGGGATAAGACTGGGGGTGAGGGGATGAGAGGCTGAGTGAATGAGAGGGTGAGTGGATGAGAAGATAGACATGAGGGTGTGAAGGGATGAGAGAATGAGGGGTTAGAGTAAGGAGGAGAGAATTCACCTCTGATGAATATCAAATGAAATCAATGAACTGTAGAGGAAGTGAAGAGAGGGGTGAGGAATGGGAGGGGATTCACATAGGATGAGTAGGGAAATGGAAAAACCAGACAACAGGATGTCCTCTGGCTCTGAGCAAAGCAGGGATTTTTTTCCTCTGTGACACACACACAGGAAGGAGCTGCTCCCCTTTCTGGAGCCACAGTCATCTTCCTGCCAACTGCCTTGGCTGTTCTTTCTATATTAGTCACTTATGTTGTCACCTGAACACCAACACTCTCCATTTTGCTTGGCAAAAACCATCACCACACTCTATAAACACTACGTTTATCCCCGTTTTCCAAATCTCCCCCACTCTGACACCTTACAGCAACATCATCAGTCAACCCAATAACCAAGTTCTCACAAGTTTAAAGTTAACCAAGTGATTTCTGCAACTCATTTACCACATATTTTCCATTTTCAAAAACCTCATATAGTTATAAAGTAGTGCCCTGTAAAATATTTATGTAGTTAAAAAGTTAGAAGTGTTTGGATCACCTGCTTCTTCTGCAATAATTGGCAGAACTTAGGCACATGATTAATGACTTTGCTTCATGAACTTAAAAGGCATTTAAATATGGCTTCTTAGGGCCTGATGTAAGGTCAAAAAGTGACTGGTAATCAGACTCACGGTTTTCAATAAGCATCAGTGTTCATAGCTTTGATTCTCAGTAACCTGAGATAAATAAGCATTGAACAAATACATGAGGTTGAAGTACAACGGCTGATGTCAAAGTCCTATTCAAGGTGAATAACACAGAACAGTTCATCACAGCATTTGTAGAGCTTTGCTAAAACCAGCACATAGTGACACAGTGATCAGTTTCCCAAAGGCATTTTTGTGCTTAGTCTGGGTTGTTCCCCACATCATTCTTGCTCCAGCTGTCCCCTTGTCCCCTTCCATAATTCCTCTCCACATTCTCCTTTCTACTCTCTGTCTTTTGTTCAAATACTTTCCCAATATCTTCCTTAAAGCCTTTATACTCATCATAGCCCCCTTTCTAGTCTCCTGACTCCAGCATTTACACACACACACACACACACACACACACACACACACACACACACTAACCTTATTGTTTTACCTGCATGAACATTTTTCCTACATGGATGTCCTAAATCTGGGAGACTTTAATTAATGTATTGTGTCTCAAAAAACCAAAAAAAAAAATAATAATTAATGTATTGTGTCAAGGTATATCCATTTTCTACAAAGTTTATTTTTTTACAGATGAATAAAATTCCACTGAGTTTATGTGCCATGTTTCCATTATTTATTATTTATCTACTCAATATCTATTGATGGACATTTAGGTTGATTACATTTCCTTTGTCCTGCAAATAGGGCTGCAGTAAATATGAATGGGCAAATGACACTATTAAGATGAAAAGTCCTTTTGGGTGTGTGCCCAGGATTCATACAGCTGTGTTCTAATGAAGTTCTATTTTTGTTTTTACTTCTGTAATTGGAATAATATTTAACATAAAAATAAAACTCAAGAGGGAGAAATGTATCCACTTTTGTGAACATAGAGCTTCTAGTTGTGGAAAACCAAGTGATTCAGTTCAATGGTAAGAACTGGTGTAAAAGAAAATCTCATTCTAGTGGCTTACAAGTTTAGCCTTGTCATTCTTTTGCCTTTGAACCCAAGTCAAGACTGAAAGCCATTGAAACATTTTAACACTTCCTCTACTAATTCTTCTGCTTATACACACATGGCTAGTTGTTACTGTGATTGTATAATATCAAATTACCTCATGACTCAAGATCCAAACTAGATGACTGATGCAACCTTAACATACCAAAATAGTTTAAATAATTAAGATAAAAAAAAAATCCAACTAGCAACTAATAGCCCAGAGATATGAAGCTGGAATCAAGCCATCTTATTTCTGTTCTTTTAATTTTCCATCTTAGAACTGTACCTCTGGACACAGTGAAGGCAGCTCTGTTACAAGCAGGGCTGTGCTTCAATCTCCTCTCTGTTATACACTTAATTCCTGACCTCCAATTCGTCAGAAGTGTCATACATCATGCTAGAGTCTAGGCTAACTCTGTTTGAGAAATGTCCCAAAAGTGGTTCTCGAGTTGTGTGCACCTCTTCCTCTTCACAATGGGGCAGGAATGTATCAGGTTCATGCTGCCAAGTTCCTTACTATTTTACAAGAAGAGAGAAAATAAACCTCAAAGCCCAAAAGCATCCGCTCAAACTGTGTCATCTCTAGGTGAACGCCAAGGCCAAGCGGTCCTCCTAAGCTCCTCCTGGGAACATTCGAGTGTAATATGGGAAAAGGAAAAAAAAATCAAGTGTTCATGCCTTCTCTAGCTAAATACCAGTACAGAAATATCTTAGACAACGGAATGGGTTACAACAAAGCACAAAGGTAAAAAATTACCATACTCAGGCTGTCCACTAACTGTCCACTGACACCACGTGGTGGATCATCTTTCTACTGAAAAGATGCAAGAACTACTGAGAGCTCACATGACGACCCAAACTCACCATATGGATGGCGCTTCTGTCCCGCTGATCTCTAAAAAGTCATATCCTTCCTCCAGCTGGAAGTCCGTAAAAACGAGAGCAATGGTGTCCCCAGGCTCAGCCAAGATGGTCCATGTGCAGTCAGCATTGTTGTCGTACTCTGACGGGAAGTGAGGGCTGGATATAGAACCGCTGGTTCCCCTTAGGGTTCCCCCGCAGGCTCCCTCAGCTGCAGGGGCAGAAACGAAAAAGGCAACTCAATTCTCAGAAGCCTGTCACACATAAGCATGTTCACAAATACCCCTATTGACCACCAACAAATTGTTTCTGAATTTAGAATGAAGGTAATCTAAAAAGACTATTTCTAAATAATCAATTTAGCTTCATAGGTGATGTACAAAAGCCAAGGGTTAATTTACATTATCAAGTCAATGTCATTGTGGGAGAAATAATAAAACTGCCAAGAAAATGAATTTAACATATAAGTAAATACCCAAATATACACTTAAAAGCAATTAAGCCCTTCATAGGGAGATGCAAGACAAACTTTTCAACTTACTACTTAGTGTGCATGTAACTGCACAGTATGTTGATAATTATAAATATTACTATAAAACTGTCAAGGTTTATACATTAATACATCATATAAATAAATGATCATTAATGAACAACATAACTTTACTTAATATTTAGAATTTATTTTCTCTGCCGTTTCTTTGTGGGCTCACAAAATTAATTGCTTCAATGTAAAACCAGATGAAAAAACAGCAATACTAGGTTAGATACATTAAATTGACAAAACACTGCTCTTGACTGGAGCTAGATTCCAACATCATAGTTAAGTGGTTGAAATGTGTTCATTTAAACCCAACTTTTGAGATGCACATCCATGTAATAATTCTAATTATTGGCAGATCATCTCTCTCCCAAAATTTTAGAAGAGAAATTACTGGGGTTTAAGTATTCTAATACTCTCTTCTGGTGATCTACAAGCTGTAGTTTTATGAATGGAAACTCTAAAGTTGATGGATTTAGGTAGAGTCCAGCAGAAGTCTAAACTAGAAATCTGCAGAATAAACTTCACTGGATTCTTGTGGTAAAGATCTCAGTAACCAGAAGTGATATGGAAGCTCTGTGGGGAGAGTACCATGCCCAGAGTATGCCTGTTTGCTGAAGCTGAGCACAGGGGGCCAGCACCCACCTGCAGCCCACGTGCATGATCATCCACTGTTGAAAGCAACTTTCAGGGTTGTCTATGAAGCCCTTGTAGAATGTGACTCTAGGGTTTGTGAACTCAACGGCATTTTATTATGTTAACTGAGGGGAGCTGTGGTGAGGCCAACCTGTATTGTAAAATGTTGCCCTCTAGAATGACCTCATGTGTGAATAAGACCAGTGGCTTCAAAAGTCACTTAGAGGCCTACTATGTGTTTTCTGAGTTTAAGAACTCAATCTTGACCAAGATGCACAAACACTATGGCCTGCCTGCGTTCAAGGAGAAGAAAAGAGGTACAAGTTTATGATCACAGTGATGAAGAAAAGATAATACAAGCAAGTCAAACGATAGAAAACTAAACATAGAAAGGAAAACTAAAAGAAGCAGACAGATGAAAACATACCACATTTTTCTGAATCTGTACTCATGATTGAGTTTTATGTAATAGGTATTTCAAAACCAAAAGAAAAAAATTCAAATCGGTTATAATTAGATATTCCCTATTTCACATTGATGTTTATTATATTTATTATGTTGTATGTTTTCCCTTCTGAGACAAGGTGTCAATATGTTGTCTTCATTGACCCCAAATATGCTATGTAGCCTTAGCTTATTTCAAACTATGCTATCAGTCTGTGTGTTTAATGCTTCTCCTGGATAATTGCAGAAGTCTGGTAGTCTGACTCGTAACTATTTTGAAAATTTCATGTAAACACATAACCACAGAAGTTTATGAGAAAAGTTTTCTGTTATTATATCTCATTTGCTGAAGATGGAATGTTGATAGCTGGTGTAAAGACTAAAAGCTATCAACTATGAAATGTTAAGAAGGTTGTGAAATACAACCTTCTTAAAAAGATCAACTAATTAATGTTAAAATTGATCAATGTAAAGACTGTACTCCAAAACACACAAAGTCTAAGGCATTTACTGTGTGAAATATGGAAACAGATATGAGTTTATAACATTGTAATTTATAAATAAAGACATTTTAAGTTCATCAAATGTTAGGCATTCTCACAGTACAATAAGTATTGGGAGAGTTTAAATTTAAAATGTTTGGTCAAGATACACACACATGTATATGTATGTGTATGTATATATCAAGATCAATAAATGAAAGATTTTGGGGAGCAGATATTCTTAGGGATTTTGTTCTAATTACAATCGACAATCCATTTTATCTTAAATTCCTGAGGAAAATAGAAATGACAAAGCAATAGCTCATGTTCCTTTCTTTTCTATCTACATGTGTAAATGAGGATGTCAAAATATTACATTTCCATTAAATGAAGCATAAAAAGAAATTAGTAACAACTCACAACTAATTTTCATGGAATATATGATGATCTACATTTTTGGACTATTTTCAGTGCCCAGGAATATTCATATGTTTAAAAAATCCATCAGGCTTTTGACAGTTACTCTTGTAAGTCTACTCTGCAGCATGGGACTTATGGTGCTGTCTTGTGTTATTCTCCACCATTCTGTAAGATTAAAGGCCATGACCAGCTACTAACTCTTCAGCACCGTGGACAGCTCTAGGCATCTATAGTTTGAGTCCCAGTAAAGCTGCTGAGAACAACCTTGTCTGTGAAATCACAGAGAACACTCCTTGATTGGCTGCAGCTGGGTGCAGAATGAATCAAATTTCCAATGGCCCCCATGATACATGTATAGCCGTTTGCTTTTAATGCACCAGATAAAAAAGTAAATTAAACTCTAGGAGAGCATGGCTGAAGTTGAGATTTCTTAGTCCTAGCACCACTAGTGTTTGGGTCCATGGACTTATTTGTTGTGTCTGCTTGTAGGAAGCTTGCTGTCATCAAAGTTCCTAAAAAATAATTGTCCTGACTGTGGTCAGTTGTAGTAAGTGCTAATTCCCACAAGGGTTCTTTGTGGACCCTGCTTCCTCTGTCTCCAACTCATTGAGTTTAATTCATTCCCTCACCAGTTCTGTTTGGAACATAGACTTGCAATTATGAGACATAGTACTCCCTTAAAATGCCAAAGTATCTTTGAGTCAAGAAGAGCTATTGGTTAGGAGATGTTTTACTTATATAAATATAAATTTATATGAATATAAATATTAATACTTAAATATTAAAAAAGGGTGATAGATGATAGTCAAGGACTTTTCAAAGGTTTTGATTTCATAAACAAATCTGATCTGAGAAAATAAAATATTATTTGAAAACTGTCTGATTTTGATACATTATACATAATTGTATTCTATAAAAAAATAAGAAACTTAAGTAAGTGAAATGACTAAGAAAATAGCTATCTGATTTTTCTAAGCTAAGTTATCTATTTTCCTTAGAAAGGCATAATACTAAGCTTCATAGTCAGAGTACTGTGGTGTATAGTCCTCACTAACTCATCTCTAGCCTTGGAAATCCATATGTAGCAATTAAAAGTTAAATCTCTTCACATTAATACTTCAGATAGAGATGTGCTGGTTGGCTGAAGTGTAATCTAAACCTATGAGAAAAATTGCAGGTCTATGCTATGTTTCAATAAATGTTTTACTTATAATTATCATAAGTGAGTCACTAAAACATTAAGGATGACTATAAAAAAGCTAAGTCGTGCTTGTCAATATTTAAATATATATTAATATATTAGGGGTTTCATTCAGCCCTCAAATACTAATAAAAAATAAAAGACCACCAATATTTTAAGGTTTTAATAGTAATGTTATTTTGAAACTTATATTTAAAATATAGAAATCATGGGAGTTAATTAAATAAATCTTATTAAAAATCCATCCCTTCCTTTCTTAGAAAAAAGATCAAGTTACTATCAACGTTACTGAGATACTATTTTTGCTGTGAAATTTAGTATGCAACACATAGTTTTTAAATAAATTATGGCTACTAACATCAATTATTTAATTCAGCTTTTTGGAAGCTTTCACCGTGAGATTTCTACGTAAAAGTGTGTTAGCAGAGCCAAGGGCATGGGTGTGATTCCCACAGAAGACTTCTCATATGGAAATCATTTCTTAACTCTATCCTATGTCCAATTCTTATGACATCTTTCATTTTACAGAAAGGTTGACCAACTAAAGTAAGTCTGAATTTGTCTGAGATAAACCAGATAGAAAACAATATTTTCAATGATAAATGTGTCAAGTCTACTGGTTTCTGTGAGTGGGAAATGAGTTTGGATGTCAATAAAGGGTACATATATTTTTTTTCCCTCTGGGAATTTTGAACTTATTCTCATATTATTTAAAGTGAGAAGCCTTATTCTCAATGTAAAATGTCCCCTTCTGGATATTTGTCTAGCTAAAACCTGTTTTATACACACAGCTCAAAATATCAAATAGAACATGGTTTAGAAGCCTAAGTCTGCCTTGTCATGAAGAATTGAAAACTCTCAGATCTGCAAAGACAGTGAGTCATTTACATGAGGTGCAATGCAGCCAGACTGTATGAACTGTATGATAATCTCCTGTGTGCACTGAGGGTCTCTGATTCCTGAAACTAGTCCAGGGAGTCCCCATGTCAGGGTTAACTTTATAAAATGAAACATTTGCAATGGCTTGTACAGTCTATCTTCTACTAAAGACATATAGCTGCCTGATTCTAGATGGTGTGTTCTAGACATAAGGAGGAAGCTACATCCTGGAAATACTTACAATATGCTTGAGTTAACAAGATGACATCACCAGTTGCCATGCAAAGCATATAGTATAAATTTCACAAGACTAACTCTACATGAAGAGGTATACCCAATCAATACTGAGAGAGAAGAATCTCTTGTCTCCAGTGATAAGTCCTTCATGAGTTTATTCAATCTCAAATAAGCCCAAAACTCACACACACAAACACACACACACAAACACACACACACAAACACACACATACACACACACACACACACATGCATGCAAGAAAGTACGTGAGACCGCCTGTGCTACAATAACAGAATGAGCTCAGTAGGTTGCTTGATTATATATTATGTGTAACTGTGTATAATAATGATTAAAGAAGAAGTTATGAGCCTGA